ATTAAATATAGATAAATTCTTAAAGCTACAAAAGTTATTGATTTCATCTTTTTTCTTTTGTTCTTTGATGAAGAGACATCACAGCAGCTGGGTTATTAGGTTATTTGGCTGCTATTACTTTAAGAGCTGCCGCTACTGAACGTGATGTGGATCTGACACTCACGCTCGTAATTTAATTCGTGCTTTAACATTAAATGATACAGGCTACAGCGCATGCCACCGTATTTGTGCGTGCAGTTGAAGAGCATTCGCTACGAGCACAGTATAATGGCTGACAGGGCAGGAAAATTAGTTTTGACTGACATATGGCCTGACAACATCTCATCTGACCACTCCTCGTCACCTGTACCGATTCTGCACTTGTTTGACTAGCGCCTGGCGCTGAGATGAAGTTGAAGTGCACGTCTAAAAAGTCTCTGGTTTGAAGTGGTTGTAAAGATGTTCTGCATCTGAATTAATGCAATTTTTGCTAAGAAAAGAGACAGAAGCAGCAGTTGTGCGTGGGGTGGCCAACCCTAGCTCCACCCCTGCGTTAATTGCGTTAAATATTTTTTACGCCATTAAACTGGAAAAATTAATCGCCTGTGTTAACACGCTAATTTTGACAGCACTAATATATATAGTGAGAGAGATTGTTCATTAATCATAGATGTGTTTTTATGTCTTAAACACATGAATGTCTGTCATATATTGAATGTTATTGCTTGCTGATTTACATATATTCTAATCAAGCTGGCTAACATATATGAGGTTTTGCTAAATTGTGTGAATGATTTGAAATAGTGTTAGAAAGATCAGTTAGATACGTTGCACTCATATGCCATAATTTTCCATCAAAAGTGTGTGCAAGAACCCACATTATAGCTGTCAATGAGTTTCAAAATTTTTAGCTACATTTACATTTGCCAGGTGCTTTTATCAAAAGTGACTTGCATGACATCCAAGGCATTCATTAGTTGATTATCTGGGAATCAAACCCACGCTCTTGGCATTGTTAGCATCATAATTGACTGTTTGAGCAAATACATTGTTGGCAAATAGTTATTTTTGTTTTTAATATTTATAAAATTATGGAGTGGAATTTATTTATATATTTTATTTTATTTATTGGCTAAAAAATTCAGGAAAAACTTATATATCTAAAACATATATATTTTACAATATGTTTTACAATATATTTCACATTATCCTTCAGAGATCATTCTAATATGCTGATTTGCTGCTCAAGTGACATTTCTTGTATTATCAAAAGTGCTGCTTAATGTTTTTTTGTGAAAACGTGTACCTGCCAAAACAAAACAAAACAAACAAACAAAAAACTTATTTTTGGAGTTTGGCAGAGATTAATTTTTAGTGCACTGCTTAATTTACATACTTAGGAAACCCAAAGGATCCTCCATCTTTTCACTGACGGGCTTGTTCTGCAGTAGCTCAGGGATGAAAACCCGCTGTGACATCACTAAAGCTGTGCCATGTGGTTATTTCACATCCCTCATGACTCAACTGACAGAAGATGCGGGAGCTCTGAGCAAATGTATGAGTGTGCAGAACTACATGACAGAGCAGGAAGTCTTGTGTGGCAGAGGAGGAAATGTGTGAGCAATCATGCAGAAGGCCCTGTGTCCATCCTGTCACACTAGAGAGGGGAGATCACATTTAAAGAAGTGTTAATGAACCGATGGTGAAAGTAAAATGTCATTGTAGTGTTTAAAGGATAATGTGATTTTTAACATCTATTGTGCCCCTGTACCCTTTGGTATAAAAACCTCAAGGTCATCGAGGGCTGGTTGTATGAATAATAAGATCATTTTCAAGATCGTTTGATCATTATTCTACTTGCTTATCTGACAGATGCCAGACTTATTTTGCAATGTGTAACACCAGCATATAAAACAGTGTAGTATATTTTCATAATGTGACAGACTGACAAATCTGTGGTCTGTCAGTGAATTGAAAGATGTTGAGTATTGAATTATTGATTCCTTACTATATAAATGTAACAGAGGTATGGTGGTTTTCAATCAAGCAGAGATGCCTGTGGCCAATATGCTAAGAGATCGACATATTGTATACTGGACAGTGTGAATGAATACCTCTAAAATGCATTCAAACAATCAAATTGAACTATTCAGTTTCACAGTACAAACCAAACTGAGCCAGCATCCTATTACAGTTGTAATCTCACAAAATGCAAATGTACTACACTGAATTATTTGCATCATACTGTAGTGAACTACCCTTTTATTAGCGCATAAATTGTAGTATTAGTACAGTAATGTATTCTTTGCTACATACATTTGCAGACTAGAGTGGCTTTTTGTCTCGAGGGATCCTTGCTCTTATGCTCTCTCCACCAAGGAATACTCACTCAGAAAGGGGGCCTGAAATAGGTGTTACACCCCTAATGAAAAATATTGTTGGACACTATTGAAGCCAGAGACAGAGCCACTGTACTTGCGAGAAAATCAACTATTTTGTCAGCCCTGATTACATTAGTTATTTGGTCTGCTTTGATTGAAAAGTTTGATAGAAGAGCAATAAACACAACAGTTTACCAAGGTTTCTTCTCCAGAAGCCTTTTTAAAAGGTTGCTGTGCTACAGTGTTTGTTTGCAGGCTTGGACCTGTGGCCTTTATTGCAGGTGTATTAAGAAAGATCAACAAAGAATTGAACAGTAACTGCCAAAGAGGGAGAGACGAAGAGAGAGAGTGAAATGTAACCAAAGAAAAAAACAAAACAAGAAAATGGGTTAGACTTCAGTAGATGGTAATTGCTTTGGACTTTATACTCATGATGTAAGTAAAATAAAACAACATGAGTGACATTTATAATAATAATTATTTTCATGTGAGTTCATGGCTCTAAATTGCATAGCACACAAGACACATATTACCACATATTACATCTGTCACATGGTTGAATGTTTTTTTTAATATATTTTTTTTATATATATATATATATACATATATATAATTTTGCCTGCAGAGTGAGTCTCACATCTACTATATAAAGCAAATGGTTGTTCTTTTTTCCTCTTGAAAAGAAGAGGCTTATTTAATCTATATGCATATAAAATATATTATTGCTCCCTGTTGAATACATACAGAAAGTATGTTATCCATAAACTAAATAAATCTGAGTTTCTTTAAAGCTACAGATATTAGCTAGGAGCTTTGCAATTGTCTTACCTTTTAATTGGATGCTCATCTCTCAACTCAATATCAATATGCCTTTGAGTGGCAATATTGATTCAATTACTAAATGAGAAATTTGAAGGGAGTCCAGGGAATAATGTGACTGACATGTAGCTCCCTATAGAAGCATACAGTGCCCTGAACACAACTGCCAAGAGATTTCCTGTCAAAAAAGAGAACTTTGAATCTTAAGTATTTTCACCCATCCCACTCTCTATTTCTTTCATTCTTTTTCTCCTGCAGTTTTCCATTTCTCCTGACTCTCAAGTCTTTTACGGGTGGTCTCTCTCTCATTTTGTCCTTATACACTGTGCACAATCATTTGAGGCAACCTGACCTTGACCCACCAGCATCTGTCTTTCATCCTGTCAGAAAGTCCCTCTGAGGCAAAACACACAGGGAGACAAAAGCACACATCTCTTCACCAGGGACTGTGTGGCCTATGACCTCTGATATGTGCACTACTGATATGACTGATAATATCAGGTTTCAAATGCAAAAAGGCAAAGAGTACTGACCAATTAATTAAATTACATCTGACAAGGCTAATGAGAACTTAGTCTCTTAAGGACTCATTTGCCATGATAACGTGCACAGTATATGTACAATTCTGCAATGCACTGACATGGTTCTTGACCGAAGGCATGTAGAAAGCTCATCCCGATTTAGTTTGTTTTTCAAAATCTTTCCTCAGTAATTCTCAGAAGTCTTATGACAGTGTTTTGACCAGTTTTCCGATATCATGCATGTTTTGAAGATTTTTATTTTTTTAATGTGATTTGTGTGTGTACTTCAAGGCTACTAAGCCAAATGTGTTACATAACATTCTGTGCATTGTATAACTTTATTTTTTACTGTAAGTCTCAGACATTGAACACTCACTGAAAGTATTTTCCTCTCTCACACCCTTGATGTTTACATGTCAACCATGATAAGGCCAGGTGTGCACTGTGGATGCATAATTGAGACACATAGAGATGCGATAACAAGCTTTTTCAATTATCATCTGATAAAAGCTGTTCCTTTACTTTGCATCCCATTAAAACAAGACTGCTAGAACATTCTCCTGGATTTCTTTTTTTCTCTCTTCTCCTCCCTCGCAGTGGTCTTCTGTTCTTCTAAATTAGTGATAAATAAAAAATTGGGCCACATGTTTGGACTGATAAAGTTGAGGGCAGTAGAGAAGAGCAATGATAAATGCAAATAATGAAATGCTATAATGCTGTATAATCATGCTTGCTTAGTACAGCACAATAAGAGGAGAAAACACTATTCATATAATTTGTCAAAGACTATACATCCAGTTGAACTCTACGGTATTTCATTTTGGAGGAAATTCATCTGTCACATGGTTGAAGCTAGCCAAATTAGCCAGATGGCAACATGGACAGGTTGCGTGACATCCCCTCATACTTAAAAACCATGAACGAGACTATGCAATGTGTTTTGTGCTGTGAATTAATGGCTTCTGAAAGCATGAAAAAATCAAAATTCAATTTACATGTAGAATAGACCAGTGGTTCTAAGCACAGGTCCTGGAGACCCACCTCTCTGCACATTTTCTATGTCTTCTTCATTTTAATGCACTTGATTCAGATCATCAGGAGAGAGCAAGTGTGTCAGATAAGAGAGACATACAAAATTTGCAGAGCACCCAGGACCGATGTTGAGAACCACTGGATTATAGTGTAGTAAAAGTCAATTTTCTTATTCAGTCTGAATCATGTAAATTATTGATGTTGCTGAGCATTTGGAGTTTCTATCAGGCTATTAACATTGTATTATATTGCATGTTTTGAAAATTACCTGTGTTGTAGTGCTTGGTGCAGTATCTTAAATCAGGATCATCCTTGAAGATGAACTGTGGGAGCGTCAAACCTTCGGCCACCTGTACAGAATCCTTCTCTTGCCACTCAAAGATCAGGTCATTCATTGTGTAGCCAACTAGGAGAAAAACGAAGATAATTGTTTTGTTAGATTTTACATGCTGTTTTCAGTATTACTATATCATAATGGAGAGGTTAATGTTGTAAAATTAGCCCTTTTCATATTCTGAAAATATTCCAACAGCTTGCACTTTCATTAAATGAATCTTTCACATATTCTGTCATTAATTACTTGCATTCAACGTCATTCCAAACTTGCATGCACTGAATCTTCATAAATATCTTCTGTATTCTGTGAACAACATGAGTATGAAGAATTTTTAGCTTTTAGCGGCCTTTTGTCTCACAAGGGATGAAGAGGATTAAGTAAGTAAATAATCCTTTAGTTAAACCATTCTGATGGTTTAATTTAAGATCTAAGGTCTATTAATAAAAATGCAGATATATTTGAGGCCAAATGAGAGGGCTGTTCCAGAAGGCTAGAACATTACAAAACCATTTACTACATTTCAGATAGATATTAGCAATAGCTTCAGAGGCATCTAATGAACAGTGAATTCAGCTTCAGATTGACAGTTTAGATTCTAAGGCACTGATGTGATTTTTTTTTTAAATACACATATATGTAAAAAGAAAACAGCTTATTGTGTTTTTTTCCCCCTCCATTGTTGACTTAGAAATTAAAGTAAACTATGACCATACAACCATAAAGCATGTTAACTGCAGTGCATAATAAAAAGGCACACAGCTTCAACATGAAGTTAAAACATATCACAAAGCATTAAGCAGTTCACCAGCACAATATCCTCAGGGTTGCAACTGCACCAGAAAATGTATGGTGTGATGTTGAAATGGCGGATATAATTATCTCTGTTTCTTCATATAACTCTGGGGTCACTTGCTTCTCTTGGTGGTACCACTTTACCAGAGGGAAGGTGAGTATGCTCATTGTTCTGTTCTATTCTATTCTATTCTATTCTATTCTATTCTATTCTATTCTATCTACTCTGTTCTACTGAATGAGCTATTTCCAATAGAGATTTTCTCTTAAATTTAACATTGTTGTCTATCATCAAGAGCCTCTCAGTGAGCAACTCTCTTAACGACATGAATATGGCCACTCTAAAATATGTAGTTATGAAGACAGATTCCCCATGACATGGGGCTTTTCTTTAAAAGCCTCAACCCCTGCTTAGAGCAATAGTCATGGGGGAGTTTGATTGAGCTGTGGCATGTTTTCAAGTCAACAGAAAGCTCTTGGAATAATATGCCAAACACTTTGACCACTAGCTTCACTAATCTTTAACCAGGAACTCGGCACTTAGTCTGTAAAGAGTACTTTGTGCCTAGGTGTCCTTGAGTTACTGTCTAAGATGGTATATAATTTCTCCATGATGATTTTAAGGATGTCAGGGCCCTGCTCATCCACAATGACATAATTTGGTATGACCCTGCCAGGTGAATGCCAGTGCCAAACACACTTTACATCAAATCCGCTATTTACCTCATCCTGGCTACTGGCTGAAGTTACATTATGAAATGAGAAACAGTGTCTGCTTTCCACAAATCTGAACGAGGGGTGGGGGAGTTACGTAACAAGCTCTTGATGAGAGGAGGTCATACGAGATTACTCACAACTCTCCAGCTGCATTATGCACGTCTGTACATCCATGGGGAAATTCTTCAGATCCATCGGACATGAGAGCGTCAGAGTCAGTCTAAAAATTGAATGGAAAAGGGCATAGATTTTAAAAATTATACACACACCTCTTGTTTCTAATATGTGTTTTTCCAAGTGTAAAACATGGTAAAGAAATTTGTATGTGCAAAAAAAATGTAAATGGAACTCCATCTACATTCTCTGAGTGAGTAATGTGTAAATCCACAACTCAGACAAAGAAGGGAATCAAAGTGGAGGGCTTTGAGCATCTGAAGCTGCTTGAGTGGTGGGATTTCTGAACGGGGCCACTAAAGCATAGGAGAGACAAGTCTGACAGCCGCAGATTGGCCATGTTTTAATTACACTCCTTCTCCCTCAGGGCACCACGTGGATTTCAGTTAGAGTGAATCCTCTGTCGTCTCACATCTGCACAGCTTTCCGTCATATCTCCTCAAAAACCTGACATGATTTACCCCTCACTATTAACTCCAGCACTTTCCTACTATCCTATAACACTGTGTTCATCCTGGCATTTGTTGATGGGTTAGTTACATTTTAGAGTTTGAAAGTATGACTCTAATGACTCAAGTCTGCATCAGCTGAGGCATTTGATTACTAGGATGGTGGATTATTATTGACATTTTCAGGAGCTAGTACAGCAGCTGTTTTCATAGACCATGACCCTATACCTACTCAAGTGTATGTCAAATGTCAGTCAGTGTTAACTCTCAGCGGCTGCTTACTGTAACTATTTTGATTGGTGCTGATGTCTCACCTGATTGAATAGAGGACATTTCCATTCTTGAATATTCTCAAGAGCTTGTTGTCAGTGGTGACCTCGTGGAAGTGCGCTCCCTTCTCGTTGGCGAAGAACAGATCAGGCTTCCAAATGGAGTCTAACATTGAGGGATCCAGGTCCAGGGAGTCATCTGGGTACTCGCTGTAAGCTAACCGAGGGTCGTTCCACTTCTGCCGGAGAAATATGTTCACTCTGTAATCCTAAGAATAAATGCTTAACATCAGTCAAGGCAAATAGCACAGGAGATGTACAACAGGCCTCTCTTGTCAGTTTTAAATCAGACATAATGGGTATTTTCACGTACAAGCATGCATAGCCGACACAAGTGAAATAGAAATGAGCATCATTGCTTAAATTTATGGTACATTAAAATGCTATATGAGATTTTCACATATTCAATGCACTGCCGTTTACATTTGTTGTGTTTCACAGCTGTAAATACATTAAATCAGTGGTTATCAACCGGTATGTTGCTACTTAATGTTCGTTCTGATAGGGTTGCAATAAAGAGAAAAAAAAACTGCTAAATGCAAATAATAAAATGAAGCAAATTGTGCAAATATGATAGCAAAACAAATAGGCTTATTAACAAGGTAGGATAAAATGTTACCCAGTTTGTTTTTTGCTGACATTAAATTCACTTGATAAAAGCTGGTCAAATTAGGCATAATGACAACATGGGCAGGTTGCATAATATACCATCTTCTGAAAACCGTGAGCAAAATCCCTCAAGGGCAAAGCAAATATGACCCAGATTTCATTAAATGTGGGTGACAAGTTTAAGAAGCATTACTTTAAATAAATAATGAATGGAGACTTTGGACGTCTACTGTAATAAGGTGTGTAATATCATCAGTATGAGGTTGTGACGAGCCATGGAGTTTAGCCAACTGTTATCTTGCCAACAGTTATAAGATAAAATTGAAATGCTTTTTGTTTAGCAAAGTTTATGCCTACAAATGGAATCCAATCATTGGGCATGTAGAGATGCAATCATCAATGAGATCTGTTCTTGCCTGCTGTACACTCCATCATATATATATATTTTTAGTACTTCAGCTTAAGCTAAACAAATATGAGAAATGTTGCCGTGGTAACTATACTAGTTAAGATAAGTGTAATTTTTTACATTTTCATTTTTTTTTGTTTTGTTTGTCAGTTTTAGTTAACGAAAATAACACTGTTGAATATATAAAACCTTGCTAGAATATATTTTACGTTTTTTTTTCTCTGTCAATCTCATATAGAGACATTACAGGCATGCTCTTACATTTGCCTTGAGACACATTTAAAAACAACAAACCTCTTAAATGTGGTTCTTAAATTTACAGCTCACAGTCCATGTTAAATTAAAGTTCTGTGGATAAAATGTGACAGTTTTATATATGCCATCATTTTTGGGATATTTGGATATTTGAGTAATGAAGACAGAACCTCAGTGAACCTCAACAATAAGATAGGAGACAGATTTACGATAATCTGTAACTAATAAAAGCTGAAATAAATTATTAAAAATGCATCCGAGGAGAGATTGGAACTTCTGCTTTCTTGACAACAATAGTTCTTTTGTTCAGAATTTTAAGAATATACTATGTATAGTCAGACTGAATATGCCTGAAAGCAACTAAGACGAGCAGCCACTAATAATGAATGGAAGGTGACAGCGCGTGGGTGATATAATTTGTTAGGCAACAAGGTGGATGGCGGTTTTCATATCTTATCTGTGTCTTTCTAAAGCACTCAAAGAACTTCATTAGAAGGTCTGTGCATCAGAGTGCATGAATGGTGGGATATTGATATGGAGTTTCACATGGGAAACTAGCGTAACACGGTTAGTGACTAGGCAAACCTCAACTGTGTCAGTTTCCCATTTGTCAACAGCCAAACATCTCAAGGCTGAGGACGTTGTGTTTAGCAGAAACAAAAAAGAAGTCAAAGCATTAGTTTTCTGCTCCACTTCCTAAAACATCTAACCGTGGTGGTTTGTTGACATGAACATAGCTGACACTCACCGATTACAGATCACCGAATTGGCCAACATCTCAGCTGATGAAGCATAACTTTCATTATAGATGTCACACCACTGCTTTGTCAATCTCTTGGTTGCTTTGTCATCAACTTAGCGGCTAATTCTGTCCTCTGCACATTTCTTTGCGGTCGGTGTGGAGGAGCTTGACAGAACCAGTGCAACGCATCTGCGATTGCTCAACCAACTGCAGGGCTGAGTGGCTCCATGACAATCTCCCACACATCTGCTGTGTGATTGCCTACTCAAGCGGGACTCACTGGCATTGAGGGGGAATCTGCGCCTGTGCCAACAAGCCAGCGATTAATCACATCTCCATATGTCTGCGGCTTCTGTACAGTCAGATAGCCCTGTCAATACATTCATCACTTTGGTAGTGACTATTGAAACACTGAACCTGCATGTTGTCAGCATAACCATTGGCAACTCTAAGCCTGCATGTTGTCAGCATGCGCCAAAATGAGCAATGGTGAAAAAATTTGTGCCATTCACAAGTAAAAATCAAGTTTCGCACCAGTCCAGACATGCAAAACCAGTCTTCAATGTGGAGACGGAATTAAAAACCTATTTTGGTTGCGAGTTGATTAAATGGCAAATTACACCATCGTAACTCCACTTTATGAAGCCGCAGATAATCTTGAGATTATCGTTCTTATCAGTTGGTGTACAGAACTGGGCTGCTCAGATCTTAATATGTTGGATTTCCTGCACATGGACAGGCAGATGTGTCAGGATTACAAAGAATAATCATACTGTATGTAGATGTGTTCAACAACAACACCTTAAAATTATGTTTTGAAACCGCAGCTACTCGAGGTTAGACCTTCACAACCTTATAATCAGACAAGATAATACATGAGAAAATGACTCCTTTTCAAACAATCCCAGGTTTGAAATGTTTGGTAATTCAGTCACACGTTGTCCTCAGGTGTCTAGATGTTCCTGTCCTTTGATTTCCTTTCATTTTAGAGAACAGTTTACAGAAAGTGACATATGAATGTCAGCTGTCTGGGAACTGAGGATTGTCCAGAATTATGTTCTGTTAATGCAGTGTCCTTTGTTCCTGGATGTTAGGATTATCCCATGACCCTAATGCTGAGGGAAGGCGATCTCCAAGGGCCAGATGGTAAGGGCAGGAAATCTTGGAAGGGTTACTATAATCCATATGTGACATGGGTAAGCAAAGAGAGAATTCCTTTACATGGCATTTTACCCTCTTCTTCACCCTTAAACCTAGCCTGGACAACAAATCTGAGGGATATTGTTTATTGCTGCACATTGATACTTTCCTTGATGTTTTCTGTTGAAATGTGTACTGTTTACCTGTAAGTTGAAAACATATCCAGATGTTCATTAAATTCTTTAAAATATACTTTCTTGATAGACTTTAACTATGTGTTTTTAAGATGACCTGATGTTAACGCCAGTGGGGTTAATGTGAAACATTAAAAAACTGATTTGACCAGTAACTTTGAATGTAAGATTAAACGAAAAATCTTTAGAAAACTATTTTAAATCTTCAATGCAATTTTTTTGTATAAATGATGGTTTCATACACTTTACAAAAATGACTAATACCAATTTGTATAACCATCAATTTAAAAATAGTTATTTTCTTATACATACGGTGTACAGTTCCCTTTCAGTCGGTCACTCTCGACGTCACGTCGGATGACAGACAAATTGAGATCTCGCTTCAGCTTTTCGCTTCGGAGCCGAGCGATCACATCGTTTTGCTCCTGACTACTCTACTGAGAGAAGAAGACTGAACGAGTTCAGCACGCTCTTTGAGAGCTCTTTGTGTTGGCGGTATGGCCCTTCAGCGGTGGTGGTTTCCCGTGTCGAGTGGGTTGCACACATCAGGCTGCACTACCCCGTTTGTGTTGCAGGCGGCCATCTCCCCTGTGCGCTTCAGCATGCTAAAATAGCTTTTTCCCTAAAAGAGCATTGAGTCATGTTCTCATTGCAGGAAGATGATCATCTCGGAGTCGCGGACCAAGCTCCGTTACCTCAAAGGGGCGGAGCTCAGTTTCCTCTGCCTCGATCTAGTGGGGGCTACTTCAGGCAGTAGCACGGGCGGTCTGAGGGTAACAGTGATGGCAAACCCTCCAGGGAACCAACCCTCAGGTGACCATTGCTCCTCTTGCACTCCGCAACCAGTTGAGCTGCCAAAGGAACGTGTTGGGCCCTCTACAAGGAGCGTACCAGCAGTATCATTGGGCACTCCTCCCGACGATCAGATGTTGATCGCTGCATCGGAGGGTGAGCCGGAGCTTTCTGGAGAGGAAGATTCTGCTGCGCTGCTGCCTTCTGGGACTGTATCAATGACTGAATCGGATCAGGAAATGACGGCTATGCTTTCCCGGACCGCCGTGAGGGTAGGGCTCAAGTGGAGACCTCCACCGTGTCCCGAGCCCTCAAGGTTGTACGATTGGTTCTTCGTGGTGGCCCGCGCTGGTTCTCAGTGCCCCGCCACGGTGCCATTCTTCCCGGAGGCGCATGAGGAGGCTTACCAGGTCGTGGAAGGCACCTTTTTCTGCTGGAAACCAACCTGCTAACTCCTCCTCCCTCACCACTCTCGACGGTGGTGCAGCTAGGGGGTATACGGGGTTCCCCCCGGTGGAGCGATTCAACCCTCGGGGGACCATCGCTCCTCTTGCACTCCGCAAACAGTTGAGCTGCCAATGGAACGTGCTGGGCCCTGCGTTCCAACTCGCTGCCCCACCGCGGGTACGTTGGTGGTGCCGCTGGTCCAGCTTGTGTGGTGTCTGGGTGCCTAGCTACTCAAACCGTCTCACTGATGCGATTCAGTTCGCCCGGCATCCCCCCAAGTTCATCGACATCCGCTTCACATTAGTGAAGGTGGCTGATGCGCCTGTCCCTCCAGCCGATATGGAGATGGGGTTTTACAGCCCCTACTTCGTTGTACCCAAGAAAGTCGGTG